TTCTAGTTATCCTGTAGACTTTCCCTCTCTACTTGGTTCTTCATGGCACTCTGCCTACCCAAGATGTAAATAATAAATCTTTGAACTTATAAAAGAAAACTTTTTTTAATCTTACAAATTTTGTAGATCAGGGATTTGGGAAAGGCTTACTGGATGGTTCTGGCTTAGTGTAGTAGTCAAGGTTCCAAAGAGACAGAACCAAAAGGATAGATTTAAAGATACCTGAGAGGGGATTTATTAGGGGAATTGGCTCATGTGATTACGGAAGCCGAGAGCTCCCATGATGGGCCACCTGTAACTGGAGACCCTGGGTTTCTGGTAGTAGGTCTCAGCCTAAGTCTGAAAGCCTCAGAGCTGGGGAAGCTGATGTTGCAATTTTCCATCTACAGCCAAAGGCCTGAGAACCTGAAGGGCCACTGGGTAAGTTCTGGAGCTCATATCCAGACAGCCTAGAGTTCTGATGTCCAGAGTAGGAGGACAGTGTTCCAGCTCCAGGAGGGAAAGAATCCTTTTCTGTGAGCCCCCAGCTGAACAGATTGTAGCCACCCACTCTGAGGGCAGATCTTCTGCACTCAATGCATGTTTATCAAACAGGTAGGGTGACTATAACATGTTGGATGCCTGGGGCAGGACCTTGGGGAATGGTGCCCAGAGGAGGGCAGGGACTCCCAGTGGAGAGGGTGAAAGGTAGTGGTGGGTTTTCTGTTCAAGGCTGGTGTGGGCATTTGCAAACCTCTTATTAGCAAGAGCTCTCATGACTGCCCTAGGTGGGGGCAGAAAGGGGTCGGTAAGGGTCACTTCAGGCATTCCATTAGTATAGGTGACACTTGTCTTTCTTCCCACCAGACTCTAGGGGATGGCATCTGATACTCAGCCAGGCATGAAGTGGGCCAGCTTTAGACCGTGAGAGCCAGCTGTTGTTTGCCACTGATGCCATGGTAACCTGCTCAGGTGCCCTGGGCATTCTCCGAAGCTCTTATGTGGGAACTTCCTGGCCTTGGCATTTAGGCCTGTGCTTAACTGCTTCAAGGCAGGCTCCTGTCTTCGTCTGGAACCAGGTGGTCAGGGCTCGTGAGATGCATTATCCATATGGTAGTGAAACTTCTGAGGCTAAAATTGGTCTGATATGAATGAGTATGGGGAAAACAGGATGGAATATTTGAAATTGGGCTCCAGTGGAAAGCCCAAGCCATCCTCCACCCTGGGAGTCATGAGCCAGTCTTCACAAAGGCTGCAGTTCGGGAGGGGCTGGGCTGAACTCCCCAAGAGTCACGCTGTGTCTTCTCCAAGGAATCTTGACTTCATGTCATCTTAATTTGGGCCAAATGAAGCCCTTAGCCAGTGGTTACCTCATCAGTGTGGCATTTGGGAAACATTAGCCAGTAACCTGGCGTTGTGGAATCTGAGGCCGATTTGTAGAGAATCTTTCACTCTGCTCTGATTCAGATATAAGCCATTAGTCCCAGGATTCCCGGACCTCAGCTAAACCAGACAACTGAAGAGTGATGGCCCCTGGTCTGCCAAGATCCCAAGAGTGGACACATTTCTTCCTGCCTCCCAGATGTTTTTTTTTTCCTCATAAAAGATCCCCTTCCCTTTAAGTGCGTGTGTACACACACACACACACACATACACACACACACACACACACACACACACAAGCATGTGCACACATGCCTGTACACCCTAAACCATACAAAGCTAGGTACACTTTTTTCCTGATAATTTCTTTTCCAGGCAGGGGCATCAGTATATTTGAGTCATGAGCTGACAGTAATTAAAAAGCACGTTAAGTAGTCATTTTAAAAAGCCGTTGTTTTACTTAATTGATTTTGCCGCCAGACTCAGAAGAAAGAACAGGGGAAAGGAAGCCTTAGAAAGGGAGACAAGTTTTCGAGAGTGACTGGAGGCAGCTGAGGGCCCTGCTTGAATCTAATTGCTGCAAATGCTGCCATTTGTTTCTGCTAATGGTTTTCTCGTGAAAGGGCTGGGGACAAGGCACATCCTCACTGATTGGAGGGGGGTGGCATTTGTTTCAGCAGCATGGGGGGTATAATTCTGATTTCAGGACAGGGTCTGTTTTTCCTTACTATCTACCAGCATAAAGTACTTCCACTGAACACTTTGAATCAAGGTTCCATTTAGAGATACTTTATTCATATTTAATTACAGACTGCAGCACCGATCTTTAATTACCTTTTTTATAAGCCAGCTAGGAACATCCACTAGCAATCAATTATTGTGTGTGTGTATGTGTGTGTGCTTGCGTAAGCACAGGAGGGTGTGGGCGTGGGACTTGCTTCCAGCTAGAGAGGGGACCGATGGCTGCAGGGATGCTGTGGGTTGCTGCGGTGGGGAATCTGCCTGACAGGTGCCCTGTGCCAAGGGGATAGCGCTTCCTATTACATTCCATGCTTCTCTTTGCTTCCACTGCTAGAATTGGGAATTTGGGCAGACCCTCACAGCCGGGCCTGGTTCCGGGTGCTGACTTGGCAGCTGGGCCTGAGTGTTATCCTGGGGTCTCCTTGATCCCCTGACGGGGGCCAGGAAATTGTGGGAGGCCCCCTTCCTGTTCTCCAGGGATATGGCAAACTAGGCTTCCCGTCATTCTGGAGATTTGGATCTGCTTGCCTCAGCTCTTTCCTTCCTCCACTTCCCTGTGGGGTGCTCTTGGCAGCTGTTCTTGTCACACAGTCTTAGCGAGGCCATGTCACTCTTTGGTTGTGGTGACTGTGGTGACTCAGCAACGTTCCTGCAATGACATGGGTTTGAAGACTGATTGTCCTTCTCTGACAAGGAACAGATGTTTCGGGGGCCAGGCAGAGGCTTGGGGTGGGGAGTGAGAACGGAGGACACCCAGATCCCTTTGCTGTAGGAAGATTGGGCCATTCTGGCTGCTTGGGGCTGAGGGTCAAAGTTCACAGCTTTGCTCCTTGGTCCTCCAGCAAGGTTTCCACATGAACTGGTGTGGATCTCATTGTGTAATGGCTGGGAACATTGCTGAAGCCCTGTCTTCCCTTCTCTTTTTGGATCTCTGTCCCAGCAAGACTGTGGAGGTGGGGCTTGGAACTCACACTTATTGAGTCTTTTAGGGCTCTGGGCCCCTTGTCCATGGGGCTTTCATTTATCTCACTTGGAGCCTGGGAAAGGCACTGTATCAGTCACAGCTACTTAAGTTGCATGTGTCACAAAACTGAAATAGATTTATGCAAATTTAAAAAAGGAATTATAGGGTAGGAACTCAAGCATGCTTAGATCAAGGGGTTGAAACTTTGTAATTATAATTTACTTTGTTTCTTGACTCTTTTTTTCCTTGTTGCTACTGTGCCTTTGGGCATATTTTTCTGTTCAAGTTCAATAGAAAGAACTTCTTTTCCCAAAGTTAAAAAATAAATGCAGAAAAATTGAATCTGATTGGACCAGTTGGTCACATGTTCATCTATGAGTCAATCAGGATGGGCAGGGGCATTCCATATTCTGATTGCCCAGGTCTGGGGTCTCACCAACCTGGGAGTGAACCCCACACCTGATGTGTACTTTCACTATTTTGAAAGAGTACCCATTTGGGGTGTTTGGGTTAGTAGAATCATGGGGACAGGAAGTCCTAGCTGTTTCAAAGGGAAGAGAAAGTTGATTCAGTTCTCCAGCTGAGAGAATAGTGGATTTATTCATCCAACAAATATCTGGTTTACACTGACCAGTTCCAGCTGTACTCTAGGTACTAGTAATTCAGCAGTGAACAGAACAGACAGACAGAAATCCCATCCCAAGCCCAGTGCCACGATCAAGGGTTTTTGTGCCAAGAGATAGCTGAGCTCCTCCCATCCTATAGAATATTCATATTAGGATTATGTAGTTGTGACTGCTCCAGTCAGAGAGGATTTCCCCCTCAGAAAAATTGGTGTGGCATTTCTCCTCCCCCCCGCCACCAGGGATCAAACTCAGGACCTTATGCTTGCAAGGCAGGCGTGGTGCCACTGAGCTAAATCCCCAGCAGGCATTTCTAAGAGAGGAAGGAAGGAAGGAAGGAAGGAAGGAAGAAAGGAAGGAAGGAAAGAAGGGAAAGAAGGATGTACTTTCTACTTCATAGAGGAGGAAAAGAGGCACAGAAAGGGTAGGGGGTCTGCCCAATCAGGGAGGTCTCGCTGACAGCCTTGGGATCTCTTCCAGGGTGGCCAGGCCAGGAATGGCTTCAGGAGCCCATGTTGAGGCTGCTACACAGGCAGGAATGAAGTTGGGTTTGGAACCTCTGGCTCAGGGTTCTTGAGCTTTCCTGGTTGGTGGAATTGGAATGTCTTCTATTTGATCTTGTGGGCTGCCGAGGACCCAGTTGTATTAACTTCTTTTTTTTGGTACCAGGGATCGAACTCGGGATCAGTGGTGGAACCACTGAGCTAAATCCCCAGCCCCAGTTGTATTAACTTTTAATTACAATCATGCTTTGGTACTTGACTGCTTTGAAACTCATCAAATTTGGTGCTTTACACATTTTGATGTGAAGATTTTGTCCCAGAACTCATTGCTTGTTTGATACTTGGCACAAAAGCTAGAACTTACTAGTGTTGATTGCCTCATGATTGGCTACCATTTCCAGCCAAAGCAATTTGGTACTCTTCATTTTTGGTACTCATTGTACCTCTCAGAGCCAATTAACAACAAGTACTGAGCGAGGTACCACTGTATCTACAGCCCAGGAGAGACAATGGTGGGTGATTAAATGGGTACATGGTGCACAGTTCTGAATATTCTAGACAGCATTTCTCTGGCCTTTGATGTGTGGGGATGCACCTTCTGTATGTGTCTTTTGTCCAAGCTCCTCCATATGCCCAGAGTGACTCCACCATAGCAAAGGGCCAGCCAAGAGCCTGAGTTGGTACCCACCTGATAAAAGCAAAAAAATCTCTCATGGGGCAGAGGAAGCTCTGGCCCATCTTCCTGGCCCCCTCTCACTTAGTGAGTTGTTATCTTCTCAGTTCCTCTGTCCTCTCCACTCCTGACAGCTCCACGATTTGTTTCTGAGCTTTGATGACACTCCTTTGGGAGCAGCCTCCCTGGCCCAGGTCCACAAGGCGGTGCTGCGTGATGGGCGAACAGTGGCTGTGAAGGTCCAGCACCCGAAGGTGCAGGCGCAGAGCTCGAAGGACATTCTCCTGATGGAGGTGGGCAACCCCCTTTTCTCTTTCATTTGTTGTCAGTCTGTATTTCCCAGGGATCCAGATGGCCTCAGTGACACTGGCTGAGGCTGGTGGGTCTCTGTGACCCCTTAATCAGCAGAGTGGGAGAGGAGAGTGGAGACCACAGGTAAGCAGTGTCCTGACAACTTATAACCACAGCCCATGGCAGGATTGGTCAGCACTTTAAAAAAAAATTTTTATTTTAATGTGACACATGTAGGTATTAATAAAGAAAATATAACAAAGTGTTCTTCTATGAAAAAATAAAACAAAATTTCATAACAAAATAAAGAATAACAGTAGTTAATATGCTGTGTACCATAATCTTAAAAGAACTGCCAAAGTGTTAAAGTACAAGTCATAGACAAAAAAGGCTGTCTCTTGCAAAAAGTAAACAAACAGATAATAGCACAAAACTTTCTTTTCAGCGAATGAAGAGAAACTAGTAGTAACAAATTAGCATATATAGTATATTGAAATATTTTTGAAGCAATGGGATAGAGAATTTAGGAAATTATTTGAACTCTCTAACTTCCTATTTTCTATTTTGGTCTTCATTTATATATGTATATACTTTATTACATGTATAAATATATACATATTAAGGTCTGTATATATTTTATTTTACATATATAAATGTATACATATTAAAGTATGTATATATTTTAAACTTGGAATTTCTCATATAAGAGAAACCATGCCATATTTAAGCTTACATGTCTGACTTATTTCACTTAACATTATGTTCTGCACTTGCTCCATTTGCCTGCAGATGCCTCAGGCTATCTTACTTTATGTCAGAGTAGGACTGCATTGTATATAAATACCAGATTTTCTTTTTCTTTTTCTTTTTTTTTTGGTACCGGGGATCGAACTCAGGTCCTTGTGCTTGTGCAGCAGGCGTCGAAACCACTGAGCTAAATCCCTGGCCCCAGATTTTCTTTATCTCGTCATCTGTTGATGCACATATAAGCTCTTTCTAAGATTTAGCTATTGCAAATTGTGCGCTCTAAACATGGATACACATATATCCCTGAAATACGATGACTTCAACTCTTTTGGGACAATACCTAGAAGGAGGATAGCTGATCAAGTGGAATTTTTATTTTTAATTATTTGAGAACTCTCCATACTGATTTCCATAGTAGTCGTACTAGTTTACATTTCCAACAACAATGTAGAAGAGTTTCTTTTCCCCCACATCCTCACCAGCATTTGTTATTGTTAGATTTTTTTGATTATAGCCATTCTTTGTGGGGTAAGATGGTATCTCAAAGTAGCTTTAATTTGCATTTCTCTTATAGCCAATGATGTTGTACTTTTAAAAAATGTTTTATTGGCTATCTGTACTTCTGGGAAGTATCTATTCACTTCAGTAGCCCATATTTGATTGAGTCTTTCATTTTGGGTGAGTCTAATTTTTTTGAGTTCTTTATATATTCTACGTGTCAGGGTTGGTCCATTCTTGATTTGTCCCTGGGAATCCTCTGGGATGGTCTCAGAACATGCCGAGCAGCTGTTGGGGCCAGGGGGACCTTAGTAGGAAATGTTGTAAAAATGAGGTGAACCAAAGATAATTTCTTGAAGGGTTAAGAAAAGTTACATGATAATTTGTTAAATATTAAAGGAGAGCAGATGGCTGCAAGGGATGTACAAATGACAGGCAGATCACATAGACTGTGTTTGCTTATCTGACATTTGTTTTGAATGAACACATTTACCTTCCAGAAAATGGCCCTGGGCAAAGCCCTGGAGGGTCTAGTGTGCCTCCAGAGTCTTCTAGCTCCATGCCTCCGTCAAAGGAGATAGAGAATGGGCCCCCATTGTTGGCAGGGAGGTCAGCAATCTATTCAACCTACCAGTATGCCCCTCTCATTCCTCTGTTCCCTCCCCTGCTCCTACACTCTTAGTTGATGTTTTCATCTCACTTTCAACCAAACATACCTGTAGATCTCTTCTGCACTATGTGCTATAGGGTGCTGGGGACAGGAGGAGAGTGACCTCCCTCCACATTCTTGGGGAGCTCCCTGTTTGGTGGAGGAGACAGGTATGTAAACAAACAACCACAGAGAGGGGACATGAACTCTGCCAAAGTTGCAAAGGGCTTGGAGCACTGTACCTGGGTGGGTGGGGGGCCTCACTGAGGAGATGATATTTGAGTGGAATCCTGAGGACCCATGAGACAGATGGGCAGGAGAAGGGCAGCCCAGGCTGTGTGAAGGCCCTGGTCTTAGAGGAACAGGGTGGATATGGAGAACTTCAGCTGGTTTTGATGGCTGGGAGTGGGTGGAGATGAGGATGGGCAGGTAGGCAGAGTGCACAGAGGGCTCGAGTACCAGGCTGCGGTGCAGAACAGGGTACATAGTCAACTCTCAGCACATATCTGAGACTGAACTATCTGATTTTTTTCCTGTAGTCAGTGGGGAACCATGTAAGAATTTTAATCAGGGTGCTATCACAATCAGATGTGTATTAGAAGTAGAAATCTGTTGGTGGTCTGGAGTATATATATTAGAAGGCAGAAAGACCATAGCCAGGAAACCAATTGAGGGGTCTGAGGGAGACTGGTCTGAGGGAGAAATAAGGATGTGAAGCAAGGCATTATGCTAGGCTGGAGGAGAGGGATGAGCTCAAGTGGGGGAATCATCTGGACTTTGTGAGCACCTTTACATGGGAAGGCGCAAGGACTGGTATAGATGAGAAGGAGGAGACTGAAGTCTATCCTAGGTTTCTGGCATGAATGATTACACTTGGGTGGCTTTAACTGTATGAGCCAGGGTCCTGTTGAGAAGAAATTGCCCTAGATATTTCAAACAGAGGGGATTTAAAACAGACAATAGGGTTTACAAGGAATGGGATTGCTGAGACTCTAAATAGGATGATGAGACAATTACCAACAGCAGAAAGCCACTGCCACCTTTACAGAGGAAGGATAGAGGAGGGACAAAGAGAAGAATTGATTTTTCTGGAGCTCTCTAGCTGAGAGCAGCTGGTGGTTGCTAAGACCAAGGTGAGTTGGCCTAGTAGAGCTGGATCACAAGTGTAGGGTCTGGTAGTTGGAGCCACAGATGTGTTTTTTTTTTTTTTTTTTGGTACTGGGGATCAAACTCAGGTCCTTGAGCTTGCGCAGGAGGCAGCGAAACCACTGAGCTAAATCCCCAGCCCGCCACAGATGTGCTTTGAGGCAGTTTTTCATCGCGTTGGGTCCCCCTATATTCCACTAGTGTTGCCCATCGGCTAAACCTACCTGGAAGCAAGTTGGTAGGGAAGCCTGGGAAATGTAGTTTGTTACAAGAATCAGGGCATTAGGGTGGATCTGATGCAAAGTGAAATAGACAATGGAGCAGCCATGTGGGTTAAGATACTGCTGTTGGTAGTTTTGGGTAGGGGTACTGGAGTTCAGGTTGGAATACACATTTAGGATTTATGATCAAGGGTACTCATGGTTGCTGAATGTGGGGGAGTGGTTGAGCTCATTTGGAGGAAGTGTTTATAATAAAGAGAGAGTGGTGGGTCAGAGGTATAGGCGGCATCATTATTTGGGGAGTGAGCTCAAGAGATAAGTTCCTGAGGTGTTGAAGGAGGATTGAAAAATACTCCTACATCTGATGAAAAAACATCTAAGAAGAGGGTGCTGTATCAGTTATCTAACGCTGCATAATGAACCAGTCTGAAAACTTAGTGGTTTGAAGCAATAGCTGTGGATTTTGCTGATGAATTTGTACTTTGGCCAGGGCTTGGTAGAGAAAGTTGTGTTTAAGGCAGCCCTAGCGTGCATAAAGGGTGGGCTGACTGGGGCTGGAGGACCCATTTCCAATGTGGCTCACCCGCATGGCTGGCAAGCTGGGCTGGCTGTGGTCTCAGAGCTCAGTTAGGCCTGAGGGCTAGGCCTTACTTCCTCTTCATGTGAGCCTCCACATGTGGACTTCCCCACAGCATGGTGGCTGAGTTCTAAGAGCAAGTGTCCCCATAGAATAAGGTTGGAAGCACATTACAGTTTTATGACTTAGCCTTGGAAATCACAGAATTACTTCTTCCCTATTCTATTGGTTGAAGCAGCCACAAAGGCCCTTTTTGTTCAGGGGCTGAGAAAGAGATTCTCCCTCTTAATGAGGGAATGGCAAAGTTCTGGGAACATATTAACATGGGAGTGTTTTTGCAGCCATTTTGGAAAATAGAATATTCCAGAATTGTTCAACACTGAAATGAGTATTCTGGATTTGGCCTTTTAAGAGTTGTTAGAAAGAGCAGTTGCTTTGGCATGAGATGGGTGAAAGAGAACTGAGACCAAGGAAGTGTAGACACTGAATGTGGATACTCTTTTTTTTTCACTTTATTAAATTCTTTTATTGGTACATTGTAGGTATACAACACAATTACATTTCTCATTGGGAATTGTACCTTTACATAATGC